GACTGATCAGAACCAGAACCACATTCAGAGTACCAATGACTCTGTGTCATAGACATTAAACTGGTACCACTATGATCCATCCCATAATACTGATGCTACCAGCTGCTGACAGAGGACATGAACAGAACCAGGTCCAGTGTTCAGACTGAGACACCTGGATGGATGTAGAACTGATCTGGTGTCAGGTTCTAGCAGAACCCAGATGTGTTCTTCCTCCTAAATGTCATGTGTCTATCTGCTGTACTGATGAAGTTCTGAGGCTCAGAAATGATGGAAAAAGTCCATTAAGGTGATCAATCTGGACCCTCCTCTGTGGACTTCAGCAGCTCGTTTTAGGGATTTTGCTTCAGGTTTGGTTGGTTTTTCTCCAGAACCAGCCCGTCTGGAGGTTCTACGTGTTGCAGAAACCTTGGTGCTGATGAGAATTCATTCTGGCGGATGTTAAATCTGCCCGCCAGCTGAAAGAATTAGCATCAGAACCAGCATCAGCCCCACACAGGGCACTGATTTGAACCAAAGCTCTGAATTATTGATTTTTCCGACTGCTGGCGTCTCGTCTGCGTCTCTCGTCTTAAATCTTTAGTTGCACTTCTTGCAAAAACTCTCAAACAAAATCGTGCAAAGTTTTTGGGCTGCGTGTCGAGTCCAAAGCAAAGCTCCGTCGGGGTTATTAATATTTATTAATGTGTGCTGTCAGGGAGGCAGAGAAACAATTCATTGCTCACATTTATCGTATTAAGAGCTCCGTGATTTATTAACGGGCATGTTTAAGGTTAGACGAAGGAGCGGGAGGAGAATCAGGGAGAAGGGCAAACCGTGAATGGATTCCTCCCCACAAAGACAAAAGTCTATTAAAGTAATTTGTGAGCTCATTGAAATGTGGAATCTTTGGCCTTTTTGCTTTTCATTCATTACTCCAGACTGCCGGTGGGTTTTTATTTTTTCTCTTTAATTTACAGGATTTGATTGATGGCCAGTTTTTGCTAAATTCGTCCGACCACCCGTTGCGGTGCGTCGACTCATCAGGAGTCTCGTCTTACGTCTTATCCGTCGTCCTCCGTGTTTAACGTCCTTCTTGTCGTACAGTACAAGCCGACACGCCATCTGTTTGTCCGTCTCCGCTGACGGTCTCTCGCAGCAGTTGGTCTCCCGCCGAACGCTTGGCGCGTCGCTGCATATCTGTATCGTTACACCTTGAAGAAAGGCGTCTGTGTTGGGTTTGATGGAGGCTCCCAGTCAGGACAAACTGATCGGTCCGTTTGCCAGCCGTCCTGGCACATCTCTCCTTCTGCCTCTCTATTTCCAACCACACCTCTAATTTCCAGTTTGTACCTTTGGCAGAGAGAAGAAGCAAAAAAAGAAAAAGTCCTCGTCACCGCTGGACGCCTTTCAGAGATGCTCTCATTGGCAGATGGCTGCCGGCCCGGTTCTGACTGACGCGACCTCGCCTGGCGTCCGCCGATCCCTTTTGTTATCTGGGCCGCACATGTTGTCTTGATACACCCCTATCATTAGACACACATTTACGAGGTGGGCCGGCGAAATGTGTGTTCACGCTGAATCGGGGGAGATAAGTGGACTCGCGGGCCAGACGTCTTCTGAGCGCGAGAGGTAGAAAATGTTAAAAAAAAAAAAAGCCCATTTCTGTTCCCATAGATCTCTGCATAATTTGGCCTTGATTCAGGTGCTATTCACGCTTGATGTTGTTGGCGTGGCGACGGAGGGATGGCGGCGGCTCAGGCGGGAACAAAGAGCTGCTACTCCAGAGCTGCTTGACGGGAGACGCTGTTTCTGTTCTGGCCTCTGAGCTGAAAGAGACGCTTCTGCTTTTTCCCTCCATGTAATGACAGACATTAGACAGTCGATTACAAGCTGCTCACAGCCGCAGAGACACAGCAGGCAGGGATACACACAACATACACACAACCTAAACACAGGTATACACACAACCCACACACAGGTATACACACAACATACACACAACCTACACACAACCTACACACAG